GCGGTCAGGCCCCCGACTGCTGGAGCAGCTGCTGTCCTCAGTTGCTGGGAAGCTGCTCTGGGATGACCCCGATGTTACCTGACTGTCAGGGCTGGAGCTGCTCGTCTCCTGTGAGGGAGATTGCAGAGACTGCTCCGATGTTGCCTGGGGGTTGGTCCGGTGGTTGCTGGTCTGTGGTGCTGAAGATCCAGGGAATGGCACCTGGACGCTGGGGCTGGGGCTGATGGTCTCCAGTGGTGCAGAACTGGGAGACAGCCCTGATAGCACCAGGCTGCCTGTGTTGGGGCTGACGGTCTCGGGTTCCCTGGAGCCATCAGAAGGCTCCAATCCTGACTGTCTGGCCACGCTGACACCAGCAAGCTCTGACTCATCTCGGGAGCCTGTGAGGGGAAGCAGGAATGTGAAGGCCACCCCAGACCTGGGGCAGGATAGGCCAGAGCAGTGCCTCCAGCCCTCCTGGAGCAGACAGGTTCTGCCAAACCCACCCTGGGCACCCACTGCCTGACCCACGGTCACCAGGGTGCTTTGCCTGTTACCTGTGCCCAGACCAGCACAGCCATCACATTCCCATCTCGTTATGCTGTTCCTCAGGCCAGAGCAGCGTCTGTGGGTGCCCTCGGCAGCACAGGAGGAGCACAGGAGCAATTGCCAGGGCCTGGGGAAGGAATCAGGTTCATGGAGGTGAGGACAAAGTGTCCAAAGCGTGGGATTATCTGGCTGAGCTCTTCTCCTGGGTCCTTCTGCTTCAAGCCCTGCAGAGCCCTGGGGTGCAGCTTTGGCAGCTTACCCCTCCTCCTCTGCCTCCTGCCTGCCTCCTGGAAAAAGGCACTCACTGGCATCGCAGTGCCTGTGTCTGTCTCCCATCTCATTGAATGCATTAAAGCCCTCCCATGATGGTGGTCTGATGGGAAAAGGAAAACTGATGAGCTCCCTCTGCCCCGGCATGGGGCAGGTGCAGGGTGTCCCTGCCTTCCCCCTGTGCCATTTCCAGCTCCTGTGGGAAGCTGAACCCGGGACTCAGGGACCAGGGCAGGGCCAGGACTGCTGGGGCAGGTCCTGGCACAGCACAGCACTTGCACCCCCTGAGCCAGGCAGAAGGACACCAACCTCAAGGGGATTTGGATCCCCACGGTGAACATATCTCTTATAAATGCCTCATCATTTCTGCAGAGGGGGCACTGGAAGGAGAAACGACCAGCATGCAGAGCCTGTCCCTGCAGGAGAAACACAAGCAGCAAGAGTGAGGCCCTGGTGCTGCTGAGCCCCTGCTGTGCCCGTGGGGGTGACAGAACCACTCCTACTTGGATGCAGTCCCTGTGGAACCAGGCGGTTTTGCAGGCTGGGCACACCAGGGTGTTGAAGGTCTTTCTGTCCTCCACAGGCTCCATGCAGATGAGGCATTGGGTGCCCGGCTCTGGAGTCGCCTCCACTGTCTGCTCTGGGCTGTGTGTGGGGCAGAAGGCCCTGGGGGG